GGCCCCAGTATTGACCCGCTGCTGGACGGGCGTTCGAATAAAAAGTCTTGCTTAGTCACAGGCATGGCATATGAGGAGGTTTGTCAGAATCGCCATGAATCACAGCGCCACTCATCTCCTTTCGAAGGCGTTGTGCGCCGTGATAAGCGGGGGAAATGCCATCAGGGGCCTGTCGCTCCATGGAGACTGGCAGCAGCTTGTCCAATCTCGCGTCTCCCTTCTTAGCGGGGAGTCGTACGGGCGCGTCAGCCAAGCGGTCGAGGTCGAGTGTCCAGATCTATCGCTGAAGCTGGATGTAGATAATCCACTCGTGCAGGACATCGTGCGGCCGGTGATGAACGGCATCGGCGCTGCAACAGGCCACGAAGCGGCGCTGTGGTGGCGAGAACCGGAGGACGCCGTGGCGGCGGTGAGGGCGAGAAAGGCCCTGCTGGGTATTGGGACTGCTGCGTCGATGTACTCGTGTTCCGAGGTGGGCAATCGGCTCTTCAGTTCGCCCACAGCAGAGGCTGAGCTGGGATTTGAATTCATAGATATTCCAGGACTCGGAAGCGGCGTCGGGACCACCGACTGTTGCAAAGGTCGTTGAATTGCTCCTCGGGCGAGTGGGCAATCTGCGGGAGCAACTGGTGTCGATTCAGCAGCACTTGACCGGCGCCCAAGCGAGGCGTGAGCAGCAGCTGCTTGCTACCCATGACAAGCTACAAGCGGCCGTTCAGACTGGGACAGCCACTGAAAATAATCTAGAGATGTAAATTCCACGAAGTAGTTTCCCTCAAGTTCAGTATGATTCGTCGATCTTCGCCACGTTCACAATGACGCCGCTGCAAGGTATCGTGCCACTCAGTTGCCGCCGGTTTATTGTTGTGCGCTTCGAGCTCCTGAGCGGGCTAAGGGGATATGTCATGAGCGGACAACAGCCATCGCATTACTTAGGCATCAAGAGGAAGAAAACTCATTATTCATACAAGGTGTGGTAGCTGGAAGCGTATCGGGGGCAACAAACATGTGCGATGAGAAAGAATTGTAGGGGAGAGGAAGGCGTATGCAGAGGCGAGGAGTACAAATTAAAGCGATCTAAAGTGCAAAGACGAGAACGCATAGTCCGTGCATCAACCAAACATATCTACAGCATTTCACCAGTCAGAAACCACAGAGAAACGGACGCGATGACAATCAACTCGAAGACAGCGCACGCTGAGAACAGTATGAGAAGGCGCCGGCAACAGAACGTACTCAGCCGCGACAAGCTCGGCCACGTCTGCCGCGAGCGCCGCCCCGACCGCGACGGCCGCGAGTTTGAGGAGGTGGTGGGGCTGGATGCTCCTCTGCCTCGGAAGCCGCGCTTGCGCTCCCCTCCGCATCGTTGTGATTCGGTTCACGGGACGTGAGACCGTCGCCAGCATCACCGTGGTCCGATTCGCCCTCTGCGTCCAGATCGGAAGCACCTGTGTCCTGCATGGGGGAATCCGAACGGCTGCGCTTCGCCGGCGGCTCTCTACCCGGTCCCTCGACGAGCTCTGCTCGGCGCTTAAGGCCCTTGAAAGCAGAAGCGTCCTCCATCTCTTCGTCGCTGCCGTCGGCGTCAGCGTCGCCAGACTCTTGCGATCGCGAGGTGGACGTTGCAGTGGCAGGGGATAAAGAAGACTCCCAGGCGGGAGTGGGTGCCAACGGAGGAGACTGCGGAGGCAGGTTCGCCGTGGACGGTGGTGCTCCTGAAAGGGGTTCCGTTTGAGCCGATGGCGAGCGCGAGCGAGGAGACGCATTTATGGGCTGACCCGGGACAGCGACCGGTCTCCTATCCTCTTGCGCGGGTATGCGCGCCAGTAAGGCTTGATCCCGCATCACAGCGTCGACGAAGCGCGAAGTGGGGACGATGGTCTCGCTGATTCCGATCCCGCAAATACTGGACAAATCGCCTGTGAGCTCAGGAGGGCGTGGGAGGGAAGCAGCGGCGGTGGCCGAGGGTGAGCGAAGGGAAGACCGTGAGATTGCCGTCTCTGCAACTGCCGCCGCAGGCTTGACTGCAGCTTCCCTGGGCGAGGCGGATGCTGCCACACCGCCGAGATTCTGCGTGCGAAGCTCGGCGAACAAAGGGATAAGGCCCTCAAGTTCTGCCAGTCGCCTTTGAGACTCCTGAGCGTTGAGACTGTTTGCCTCCACTTGGCTTCTCAGATCCCCCAAATCGTCCGCAACCTTGTCCACGCGGCCGCTGAGAGACGTCACGCTACCAGTCACAGCGGCAAGACTATCCTCAACACCGCCAATCTTCTTCTCGAGCGGGTTCCTGACGTCGCTGACCATCTGAGCGAGAAGAACGGACAGGCGAGCCTCATCGAAGGTCATGGTCCCGCCTAAACCAGGCAAAGGGGGATCGGATGGCCGGCTGCTATCTGAGAGAGCGGATGGCTGGCTGCTGCCTGACAGGGGAACAACTGGAAGCGAACGCGACGCCGGAGTTGCATGGGTGGATGAAGAGGACGGAACCTCGAGCGGCCTGGTTGACGCGGCAGGCACGGCGACCGATGCCACGTGAGCGGCTGACGTCTTGGACGGCGGGATGGGCACAGATGTAGACGATGGAGGAGCGGATGTGGAAGTCTTGTCACTTCGCGACTGCTGCGTAGCCAGGCTGAGTGTGGCGATTTTGTCAGAGACAGCATGAACAACTTGATCAGCGCTTTCCTTCTGTGCGCGGACGACGTTCTGCACAACCTGCTGCACAACATCCTGCACCATAGGACGGAGATGTTCAGGCACAAGTCGACCGACAAACCAGTCCTGCATCTGGGTCTGTCTTTCGTGCGCGTCCTCCCGCATACTGTGCTCAACGCGATGCGCGAGGTAAAGATCGCCCGAGAGATTGATCGCCCCAGGATGCACAGCAGGCGCCCAGGGTGACGGGTAAGATATAGGCATACGCGGTGGGCCTTGTGCGATCATGTTGTGATCCGGTAACGCTGCAGACCAGTTCAGCATTCATATCGAATGAGTGATATCATATACGTACCCTTCCACCCTCGCTGCGGAAATTCAGTGGGCGATCCTCTGCGCGGTAGAGGACGACTGCCAGGCGGAGGCGACTTGAAACGCAGAGGACCGTCCTGACGCCGGGGGATTGGCTGCGGGTTGGCTCTCCCTTTGCCTTTGTCCTTTGCTGTAAGCTTTCTAGGCGCCTCAGAGGCATCATCGTGGTCCGTCTCACTCTGCGAGCGCGCAGCCGATGGCCGGGGTGATGCGTCCGCCGTGTCTGCCCGAACACCGCTGTTTGGCAACTCAGTTCCTCGAGCTTCGTCCACGGAGGGCGCCAAGGATGATCGCGCCGACAAGTCTGGCGCCGCCGTGTCAGATGAGCGGATCTTCTTCTGCGGCGGGCCTTGGGGCAGATCCTGGCGTTGACCCTCGAGGGCCGGGGACGCAGCGCTCGCGTGGGGGACGCGCTTCCTCTTGGGTTTGGGCGCAGCCGGTGCTGAGTCGCGAACGCCGTCTGCTTGGCGGGTGAGTGAACGATGTATAGCAGCGTCGGGACTGGTGACAGCCTCGTCTGAGCCCGGGCGCAGCGGTGGCTGCACCGGGGCCAGCTCTAGACGTCGCGCAAGCGCGGCTCTGGCCATGTCAGAAGTACCCGGTCGAACGTCTGCACGGCGGGTGGGCGAGAGCAGTGGGCTCTCTCCTGAAGCTTCTGGCACTGTGTCTGTTACAGGGTTCTCTTGTCCATACGTTTCCGACTCCAGCGTGTCGACGCTAATAGCCGCCGGAAAGTCGGCGGCGACGGCTGAAGGAGAGGCGGAGGCGGGCGCAGGTTCAGGAGAGGCGGAGGCAGGCGCAGGTTCAGGAGCGTCGGTGACGGGTGCAGGAGCGGCGGGTGCAGGTGTAGGAGCGGCGGTGACGGGTGCAGGAGCGGCGGGTGCAGGTGCAGGAGCGGCGGGTGCAGGTGCAGGAGTGGCGGGTGCAGGTGCAGGAGCGACGGATGCAGGTGCAGGAG